CCACACGGACTGTCCGCGCTGCCCCCCTGACGCGCTGTCCCCGCTGTCCCCCCTCACGCGCTGTCCCCGCTGTCCCCCCTCACGCGCTGTCCCCCCTCACCGCTGCCGCCCGTCCCGCTCCCAGCGCCGCCATCTTTGCGGCCCCACACTGCACCGCGCCCACGTGACCACAGGGGGCGGGGCCGAGGGGGCTCCGCGGCGCCCCCTGGCGGACACGGGAGTTACTGCGGGGACGGGACCCCCCCCCGGCCCTTGGGGACACCCTGAGGACCCTTGGGGACACCCCGAGGCCTTTGGGGACACCCTGAGGACCCTTGGGGACACCCTGCGGACCCTTGGGGACACCCCGAGGCCTTTGGGGACACCCTGAGGACCCCTGGGGACACCCCGAGGCCTCCCCTTCCACATTCCCCCAGGGCCTGCCCCAGGAACCCCTCCTGGAACTCCTCTTGGTCCCCAGTGTCCTCCCTGAATGACCCCCACAGGACCCCTTCGAGGGTCCCAGGGATTCTCCCAAGTGACCCCCAGTGTCTCCCCAGGACCCCTCTGGGACCCCCAGTGCCCCACCCTTCCACATTCCCCCAGGGCCTGCCCCAGGAACCCTTCCTGGACCCCAGTGTGCCCCCTGAATCCCCCCAGACCCACCGGGGGCTGCTGAGCATTTGTGACCAGACAGCAATGGGAGCTCTTTTCTTTATTGAACAGGGAGGGAGGGGCCGTGGCGGCAGGGTGGGGGTCCTCTGCCCCCAGGCTGGGGGTCCTGGTGCCGTGCTTTGTTTCCCAAATTTGTGCTGGGAGCAGCTGCCAGAGGACATGGACACCTCAGTGCCATCCCCACCCCTCAGGTACAGACCCCTCAGCAGGGCGGTGTGAGGGGCTGGGGGGGTCCCTGCAGCCCCCGGGTCACTTCTTGAGCAGCTGTGCCCGGGCCCGGGTGAGTTTCTCGGCCAGGGCGCCGTCGGTGCCGGGAGAGCAGTGGGACAGCACCAGGTTCATCTCGGCCTCGCTCTTGTGCTCTATGGCCGCCTCTGCCGCCTGCTCCAGGTCCCTGGGGGGCACCCACAGCGTGGGCACGGGTGGGACAGCACCCCCACAACCCCCCACGCCTGAACCACCAACCCCCACTGCGGGGACACAGCTCACGGTGCCCCCACACCCACCCGGGACCCCCAAACCCCCAGTGCTGCTGCATGAGGGACCCCACCCCATGTGACCCCCACCCTGTGTGACCCCCACCACATCCCATGGCCCCCCAGGGTCCCCCCAGACTCACCCCACGAGGACAAAGGCCTTGACCCGCTGCTCGGGGGGCACCCGGGGGGCGTATTTGCGGGCCTCGTATCGGTTGTGGTGCTTCACAGCCACCTCCACGAAGGGCTGGGGGCACACAGAGCAGGGCATGGACAGAGGAAGGAACAGGGTGGGAGGGCGTGGAGGGGAGGGCCTGGTGGCCCCCCCAAGCAGGAAAAGCTCTCACCAGGTACCCGATGGGCGACTTCTTGCTCTTGGAGAACTTCTCCATCTCCTCCCAGTCCCCCCGTGTGGCCAGGGCATTGATCTTCAGCCACCAGTACCTGGGCACGGGGGTCAGGGGGGCTCCTGGAGCTGAGAGCCCCCTCCCAAGCCCCCCGTCCCCCTCCCCAGCCCCCCCTGCCCCCCACACCTCTTGTCGGGGATCCTGAACTCCCGGTAGAGCTGCTCCGCCCGCTTGTGGTGGCCGTCCAGGATGAGGGTGGACACGGTGTCGTGCAGGGACAGGTCCAGGTAGGGCTTGTCAAAGTCCTCCTGCAGGTGCCGCTGCAGCCGCAGCAGCTTGATCTGCTCCTCAGTGGCCTGGGACACAGCAGTGACCCTGGGGTCCCTGTCCTGCCCTTGGGGTCCCTGTCCCAGCCTCGGGGTCCCTGTCCCGGCCTCGGGGTCCCTGTCCTGCCCTTGGGGTCCCTGTCCTGCCCTCGGGGTCCCTGTCCTGCCCTTGGGGTCCCTGTCCCAGCCTCGGGGTCCCTGTCCTGCCCTCGGGGTCCCTGTCCTGGCCTTGGGATCCCTGTCCTGGGCTCAGGATCCCCATCCTAGCCTCGAAGTTCCTAGCCTAGCCTGGGGGTCCCATCCCAGCCCCAGGATCTCCATCCCAGCCCCAGGATCCCCATCCCAGCCCCAGGATCCCCATCCCAGCCCAGGGTCCTGTCCCAGCCTCTCACCTTGGCAGCAAAGTCGTTCCTGGCCTTGTTGAACTCGTCCAGGGCGTTCTGCAGGGCCGCCACGCGGCCCTCGATCCGCTGGGACACAGCAGGGACATGTCACCCCCACACAGGGACAGGGACACGCCAGGGGGATGGCAGGGAGCACCCTCAGACCCCAGCCCCCCGGGTGGGATCCTCACCTTCTCGGAGTAGCTGGAGTGCACGTGGAAGTTGCCCAGCTCCTGGTGGTTGTCGTCCTGGTTGTACAGATCCTTCAGCGTGTCCCGCTCCTGGTGCCGGCAGAACTGGGGGCACGGTGGGGTCAGGGGTGGGGGGAGCGCCCGGGGGGACATGGGAGGGCAGGGAGGGGGTCAGGGGGCAGGGTCTCTCTGCCCTCACCTGCCGGTAGAGGCTCAAGGCCACGGGCTGGTTCTGCAGCGTCATGAAGAAGGTGCCGCGGTTCAGCTCGTTCTTGAGGTGCAGCACGACCGTGTAAACTGGGGGGGACAGGGAGATTGGTTTGGTTTTTATGCACCCCCTGGCACCCCGTGTGCCCCTCAACACCCTCCCAAACCACACAAGCTCCCAAGGGGCTCCTCCAGACCCCAAAACACTTCTGCCCTTGCCACAGCCCCCCATTGTCCCTCACCCCACAACACTCCCAAGGGGCTTCCCCAGACCCCAAAACGCTCCCAAGGCCTCCTCCAACTCACCCACCC